CGTCTTCTCTCCCTGTATCGCTAATTATTCTCTTCACTCACTTTCCTCTCCGCTTCTATCTGCCGCGCTCTCGTCTCTTCTGTGTTTCTCTCCCTGTATCGCTCACTCGTCTCTTTCGCCCCCTTAAAATAGAATCACCCCGTCAACATTGAAATCCCCTATAAACCTGTTTAGCCCTGAGCCTGTTTTTCAGGTCTCAGGCTCGAAAATGACATTCCCAGAACAAATGACCATATCTTCTAAAAGGGTTACATTAATAACCTTTTTTCTCAAAGTAATGATAAACCTGTGAGTTGGATGTAGAAAAGTCAGAATCAATATAGATTAGTGTTGTCACGATACCAACATTTTGGTTTCGATACCGATACCAAGTCAAGAATTGCGATTCCGATTCTTTTTCGATACTTTTCTTAAAAAAAGGGAAACAGTCTTAAATGTAATTATTGTGCTTTATTTCACACCAGAACCATAACCATAACACAAACTTTTAAACAATGAGAACAATAAATGACAATAATTCATATTAAATCAAATTAAGCATCATCTCAAACAACTTTTTTGTTTTATAAAATATAATTTTATTAACATGTAATAGTACAGTAATATAAATAATTATTGACAAAATGTATATTGCAGATGTTAGCCACATTGGTAAGTTAGCTAAAAAGATAGCCATATTTGACACTGATCAGCTCCTCCAAACCCACAACCTGCTCCCTTGACCCTCTACTGAAGTCCTGTCTCCCCGTCCTCTGTCCCTACCTTGTCAAACTTTTCAACTCCTCCCTGTCCCAAGGAACCGTTCCCTCTGCCTTCAAAACTGCTGCTGTCACTCCCATCCTCAAGAAACCCGGTCTGGATCCCTCCTCCCTCAGTAATTACCGTCCCATCTCCAACCTCCCCTTTCTCTCAAAAACAATAGAACGCATTATCTCCAAACAACTCCACCGCCATCTCCAAACCAACCAGCTTTTTGAACCCCTTCAGTCTGGTTTTCGTCCCCACCACAGCACATAAACGGCCCTCATCAAAGTCCTCAATGACCTCCTCACCTCTGCTGACACCGGTTCCCTCAACATCCTCATCCTCCTCGACCTGAGTGCAGCCTTCGATACCGTGAGCCACTCCATCCTGCTTACCCGACTCCAGGACATCGGTATCGAAGGTACTGCACTCAGGTGGCTCCAGTCCTACCTCTCTGACAGATCCCACTTCATCTCCCTCAACAACCACTCCTCTTCCACAGCTTCAGTCACCCAAGGTGTTCCCCAAGGTTCAGTACTCGGCCCCCTCCTCTTCATCATCTACATCCTCCCCCTTGGTCAGATTCTTCGCCAATACAACCTGGACTTTCACTGTTACGCCGACGACACCCAGATTTACCTCAGCACCAAATCCCCCAACAACCCCCCCCTCACCCACATCGAATCCTGTGTGACTGCAATAAAATCCTGGATGCAACACAACTTCCTCAAACTCAAGCAGCAATAAAACTGAACTCCTCCTCATCGGCTCCAAATCCACCCTCAGCAAAACCCCCAACCTGACAGTCACCATTGATGGCACCCCTGTTTCCCCCTCCACCCAGGCACGCAACCTTGGCGTTATATTTGACCCCACCCTCTCCCTCGAGCCCCACATCCGTCAAGTTGTAAAAACCTCATTTTTCCACCTCCGCAATATTGCCAAACTCCGTCCCTCTCTCACCCGCCCTGCAGCTGTGCGACTCATTCACGCCTTCATCTCCTCCCGCCTTGACTACTGCAACTCACTCCTCTACGGCATCAGCTCCACATCCCTCAGTAGACTCCAGCGTATCCAGAACACAGCCGCCAGACTCCTCACCCACACCAAATCATGGCATCACATCACCCCGGTCCTCAAAGAACTCCACTGGATCCCCGTTTCACACCGCATCCACTACAAACTCCTGGTCCTCACTTTCAAAGCCCTCCACCATCTGGCCCCCCCTACCTCACTGACCTCCTCATCCTCTACCAACCACCCCGGTCCCTCAGATCCACCTCAGCCGGTTTGCTTTCCATCCCCAAGGCCAAACTCCGGAGCTTCGGGGACAGAGCCTTCTCTGTGGCAGCCCCGAAGCTCTGGAACTCCCTCCCCCAATACCTCCGTGAGTCTGAGTCCCTCACCCTGTTCCAGTCCCGCCTCAAAACCCACCTCTTCAACTCTGTATCCATAAGCCCCCCCCCCCCTCTCAACCAACTTCCTCCTGACTGCTTTTCTGTTTTGTTTTGTTTCTTTTTGGCATTGTCTTTGTTTTGTTTGTCTACTCTCCCTCCCAAATGTAAAGCGTCTTTGGGTTCAAGAAAAGCGCTATAGAAATAAAATATATTATTATTATTATTATTATTACTCATACAGGTAATCTATTGGCCCATATATAAACGATGGGCTTTCGTAGCATATCAGCGCGCGCCAGCCGAGATGATCCGGAAACAGTCTCTTAGTTTGAAGCAAAACAAACACATCTGGCTCGTATTCCTGCAGCTTCCACACACACACATTCTTCAGACTTCCCTCTCTGCTCCCCTCCCCCATCTAGTCTCCTGTCCTGCAAACCTGCTCCTTATTTCCCACAGGAATGTATAAAACCACACCTATATTAGTGATAACATGATGCAACACACCTCTTATATATGGGTGACATTAAGATGAATATAATCTTCAATTCTCCTGGCTTTGGTGGCCAATCCCCGGGTCAATCTGTCCCCGTTTTTAAATATGCTTTTAAAACCACCTCTAGTGTCGGATTTTGGAAAATTGATTTAGATTTTTCTCATGGCAGTTAGACTAGGGGACAAACCAGGGGACTTTACTTCGTCTTGACACCGTCGGTTATTTACAAAAAAACACCTAATTATACTTGTTGTGCTTCTGTCTTTCTGTGTCTTTTCATCTGTAAACTCCCTCACCGCTCGCTCTCTTTTCTTGATCGCCCTCTCACGGAGATCACTTCACTGTCCCTCTTCATCGTAGGATTTCTGCCATGTCTCTACTTCAGTTTGACCATCGCTGTTAAGTTATGGCATACTAGATAAATAAGTAATTAGATACCTTACCGTTACTGCGCTCATAAAGAATGATAAGAATAAGAATAATGTGAATTGAACTGGTTTCATTCATTAGAGTTTATTTAAGGTAATTAGTTAGAAGCCCTATTTTATCAGTATGTCTGCACAGAAGTTACAATGGTCAAACTACATTAAAACAGAATTGTCCCCATTCTTTCTTTAATAGTTACTAACATTAGATATTTTAATGAGATATGGACCGCAAAACAAAAGATGTCCCTGGTTTTCATTTTAAAAATCAAGTCACGTATTGCCTTAGCTTATTTTGTGATGATGATGTGAATTACTGTTCAAATTAGTTAATGTAATAATCGTTTTTTTCATGCATAGCCTAATGTTACATTTCTGTGCTTAAGAATGCCTTCAAGACAGAGGAGACTTAAGCAGAGAGAGATCAGAGGCCTGTACTACGAAGCTGGTTCAACCTAACCTGGATATGTTTGAGTTAGCCGGTTGGCCTAATCCAAAACATACGCGCTCTCGCTAAGCGGTCCTACGACGCTGGTTATCAAGTGGATCGCTCAAGCCAGCCGTGTCCTATCTAGTTAGGTGCGCGTTCACATGAAAGGGGTGGTATCTGGAGCATTGGACCAATCACAGACATGGAGAAGCGCACTGACAGCGCAGCGTCATACTTCCTGAATGAAAAGTCAACTATAATATTAGACATATGAAGAAGTTCAACTTGAAACATCCGTGACTTAAACACTTGATCCAGGATCAAAGCCACAGAGCTGCACCTGCAAGGTGAATACAGCTGGGAACAGAACAAGTGTTTGAATGCGTACATTAACAGCTTTATGATATCACTGCCCGTCTAAGACACCATCTGACTTTCATTACATTTGACTCGAGTGTTTCGTCAACTTAATGTGTTGCTTAAAATAATCCTTCTGCCTCCAGTCTGTGACGCTGTGAGTGTTGCACGGCCAGATACTGCTCAGCTGACTCAGATCAGGAGATATATGATACATTATGAAGTGATATGCCGCGGACTGTACTTAATGTGACTCTGATCCGGTTACTTATGTTGTGGCAGATATTTAAGGGGAGACACCCCAGGTGAATAGGGTAATTTTTTTAACTTAAAGGTATCAGCTAGAAATTTCTCCAGTTAATTACTTACAATAAGGCAATTGTTTTTTGTATTACAAGTTTTCTGAAATAGCATGTTTAAATATGCAAATTATCCATTATCTCATTAAATATGCACATATTTTAACACATTTCAGGAATCGAAATCTGAACTTTGGATATAGCCAGATTCAAAATTATTGTTTCATTTTGTAGTCATATTAGTATCTAAGGCTTTTACAGAAGGGAT